TCCTGTTCGCTGATCCGCTTCGTGTGATCCGTAGAGCTGATCCGGCTTGCTGATCCGATTCGTGCGATCCCATTCGACCCTGTCCTGATCCGATATGTCGGGCCCCCCTGATCCAGCTCGCACCACGTACTGATCCGTTACGTTTGAGCTGATTCGTGGGTCTACCGCCTACGCCAGGCCGACCATAAAGCGGACTAAGAGGACTGAGAGCACAGGGGCGTAGATATGGTTGGACACCATGTAGTGAAAGGTCATCCTTTGGTTGTCTATTGTACATAGGTGACTGTTGGGGAAATCCTGTAGTACCGTACTTAGTCCATTTAAGCTTGCCTTGCAGTTCAGTTCTTTTAGCGAGGTGCAAGTTGCTCTGGACGTGGACATGTTGCTGAAGCCGTCTTTTGCATACCTACCCAGATCAAGAAACCAAGCTTTGGTTGCATTTTGAAAGTGAGGCCAGGCAGTCAAGGGGCAACGTCTGGCTATCCCTTCAGCTCTGCGCGTAAGCCCTTAGTCGGGTGAGCGCTTACAGGCATTCCCAAAAACTTTGGAACGCCTTGAATCCTCAACCCCTGAACTTCTTTCGGCTGAGGATTAAGGAGATGGAAGACAAGAGGGAGTACTTCGTGGCCAGGGCCTTGGAGTCCAAGATGTTCCACAGCTCCCGCAGAGGGCTTGTGGATTCAGATCAGTATTTTGAGATGCCTTGTGCTCTCCCAGCTAACACTTTTCATTGCAGCTGGCTCCTGGACCTTTCTGCACAGCATGGAGGTAACCATTACCTGGTTGAGAACCGAGTGAATGGGAGACGCAGTGGCAATTCCCTTCTGGGCGGGAATGAACATCAACATGAGAATGCATGGGATGCCACCTTGAAGAATTCAATACCCCAAGATCTGGGCAACAGGATCATATTTATCCTGGACGAAAATGGTCTGGACCTTGACTTCAGAATTCAGGTCAATTGGATTTTCTAGATGAATGTATTCTTGAGGAGTTGCTAGAGCCGCAGCTGTTGCCTGGCTTACATCTTTCTAAAGGCACTGAGAAGCTCAGCATTTGCCCTCGCAATTATGAAGTCCTAAACCCACAGCAAGCCGAGGTGATATGCGCTGGTTACGAGGAGGATCCGCAGGGCATAGATGCCAAAACCGCTAGGATCATAAAGACGATTTGCGACCCTGTAGGCCCTGCGGCTCTCAACCCTGCTCTCTGAACAAGCCTCAAACTTCTAGAAAAAAGCCAGAAGGCCAGAACCCCGCCAACTCTGGCATGATGAGCCTTCAAATGGGCCATCACTTGCCTACAAATTTCAAGCAGAGATGCGCATGTTCCACTTCTGTTTCCCCCTGTGCTTTGCAAGGGGGGTCCAGTTGGTTCGTGTAGGTGAAGTGCTCTCAGCATTTAGGAAGGTGTTCCCAGTTGTTTTTTTCCGTTGTGGGTCGGTCGCCATCCTCGTAACTTTGATCCCTTTTGCGTCCTCGCATCTCCGTAGTATTCGTGGCATTCCAACAGAATAAACAGTCACAGGGATGGGAGCCCCGAGCGGCATCTTAATGTCCTTGTGGTGGCTTGGGAAGGAGCTTCGGCCTTCAAAACCTGTCGATCCCTCTGTCAAGAGTTTGGGGCGTGACAGCGTGATCCGTCAAGAGTTTTGGCCGTCACAATGTGATTCCTCGAGTGTTGTGGGCATTACAGCGTGGTCCTCATCACCCTGCGCCGCCTCAAGAGTTTGGGGTCGAGGATTTAGCACTGAGGGGTTGTTCTGAAGGACAAGATGCCAATCCCATCTTTAGGGTTAAGGGTTTAGGGTGGGGCCAAACCCGAGGTCTGGATCCGATATTATGGGGCCTGTGGGGCCCGCCAAAACGTGCCCTATAACCACCAGTTGTCACGTCATTTTCGATGTTCTTGTCAATTTGATTCTCCATTAGCGTCATGGTGTGATATGGCTCTCAAGGTAATTTGTGCCATGGTTGGGTTGTGCAACTACAGACCTATAACTGCAAGAAGCCAGGTCAGTTGGTGTAGTTGCCCTACCTTAAAAAAATACGGATTCCTGCTTTGAAGTTTAAAGCGTATTCAGAATAGGGTACTTAACGGCCACAATCTTACATCGAGAGACGACAAATTGCCGTCTACATTACAAACATTTCAACACCCTTGACGTAATTTTCGTGATAGTCAACGAACGAAAAGAAGCAGATTACTTTGGAGACTGGTGCTTCAATGTTTGGCAAGAGCATTGATACACTTTCTTTTTTGTCCACGGTAACGACTTGTTGCAAGCAAGACTTGTAAAGGAAACGATAAATCTTGGCATCGCTTCTAACAAGGATATAACTGCTAGCTGTAGCGAGGAAAAAGGGGACAGTTTAGATGCTCACCCTGAACTCCTGAACCGTGATCATCAGGAGATGGACAACTTCTTCAACAGCAATCCGGGATTCAAGCGGGGACCCCCAAGATGTGTAGCACAGGGTAAAGGATTTGGGGGGTGTTGCTCGTGATGAGGAGTTCGTGTCGCAAGGTAGGAAATGAGTATTTCTGCTACCCTAAATAGTAGTGTCCATTTTCTTTTCCATTATCCCTATATAACCCCAATATGTAACCCTACTATGCCCCAATATAAACCTAAGTTTCTTATTCTATATAGTCAAGACCTGGTTCAGCAGAATTTCTTGCGCTCCATACTGAATAGCTCAGTTTCGCTTAGCATAAGAAACTGGATGTTTTCCACCGGAATTGGGATACAATCCATAAGAATGGACAGGCTCTTTGGGTGTGGATATACCCCTGGACCCTCTAGAGCGCCACTAGTTTGAACATTCCGCAAGCCTAGACTTTCAGAGGTCCATTTGGGGCCATTGGAGGTTAATGGGCCCCGTGCTTGCAACTGGATTCTCTGAAATTCGTATCTAAGACCATCGGATCCCGGAACAGCTCCCGTGCCTGCAGTGCGGCGTGCATGCGGAAACCAAAGCCTTAAGAGGTATGCTGCTTTTCCAAAACCATTTTGCTCCCCTCTCCAGGCATTGAGATTCCAGTAAGGTGCAGGCTTAGGGGCAACTGGCAGTTCTCGCTTTGCTGTAAGTCCTTGTCCCGAGCATAGGGTCATCAAGTTTCACTTCTAGCGTTTGACCAAAAAACGGAACATTTGGTTTGGTGGAATGCGCATCAAAAACTTGTCCCAATCATAATTTGCAACGAAACGTTTTCTCTTCAAATATGGACACGCAGAGCAAAAGGTTGAGAAAAGGCATGGCAACAACAAAAAGCGCAAATTGAAAAATCGAAAGGAAAAACAAAAGTTCAATCAAAAAATTGCTCCTGAAATATAGGCACAAAAAACAAGCGGGTAAGAAAAGGCAAAAAGGAAGAAGGAAGGAAGGAAGCACGGAAGGAGGGAAGGAGGGAAGTTTTTTTGCCCCCCAACCCCCTCTTTTCAAGGCCATCCGTGCTGGCAATACAAAACAAACATCATGTCATCACCATGTCTGCAGTAGGGAAGGTTGCGCGAAGTTTTTCTCAGCAAATTGGGGGGGCTGTGCCCCCGACAACCCCGCTTTTCTAAGGCATCCATGCTGACGGTAAACAATCATGTCATCACCATTTTTGCTGTAGGGAAGGCTGTGCGGATAATGTTGTTTGCAATGGGCGGAGGCTGCGCCCCCCCAACCCCCTTTTTTTAACGCCATCCACGCTTACGGTAAGACCCCCCTCAATTTGTATGATTTTTGACACTTTGCAAATTCCAAGAAGATCCGAGTGACGACACTTCCACGGATCGCGAACCCGACTCCCACGATCCTTGTGACTGTTGACACTTTTCAAAATGAAAAAGGGATTCGAGGTCTAAAAGTGACGGCATGTACGAGGATCGCGACTGCTCTACATTTTTGAAAAAAAATGTCGTTCATGGTTGGAGCAATCCAAAGCCCTTTCATGAGCAACCGAAACGACGGACAGTTCTGCACTTCAAAAACAGGTTGATTTTGATCGAGAGAGATTTTTTAAAGTTCAGAAAATTTTCTCATGGTCAAGATTTGTTATTGTTGATCGTTTTTCTTTGGCTTGGTGCCTTGCTGCTTCTGGCTAAGCCTGCACGCACGTAGAATGAACCTTATGTCAAGTCGTTTTCAGTCCCGAACAAGATGCATGCCAATCCTCACACTAGGCGTGAAACCCCCTGTTATCTCGTGTGACCACAAGTTGCGTTTGCAGCCGAAGCCCTGGTGCTTGCGCTAGCAGTGGTTACAACGATTGCCACCATCTTCACATGAGAAGTATCGTTGATAGTATCTGAGAGGATGATATTCAGCACCATAGCATTAGAAATCACACTGACATTCTGACTCCGCGTGCAAGGTCCCGAGTGCCCTTCACCTTCTACTTTGAGGACCCGGGGAGCTTACTCCAACCATGAGGTAGCCCCTAGTTGTCAATATTCCGCAGTGCTTGGAGTTCCGTCTTGGGATGCTGCTATGATGATGACTGTCGGGATGGTCCGCGGTTTAGACACAGCACTACAAGGCGCGGTCCGCGGTTTCAACCTTGAAGGTTTTGTGATGGGTAATGGCAGAAGCTCCAACCTTACCATTACATCAAGACATTTAGATACTCCACCATTGGTTGAGACCCCAGTGTTAGGTTCTAGCGATTATTTTTGAAAGGTTCGAGGTGGGTTTTGGAGTTTCAGGAGTGCTTTCAGGAACTATCAGTCTCGGAACCCTCACGTGTTTTGGATTGCTTCCGACGCTTATCCTGAGAGCAGTAGGTTTCGATTACGCTTGGATGACGGCATATGCTCTGACAATGTCCCCCTTAACCAAGTACATAGAAGAAAGGTGAGAGAACAGAAATGTAGCGGGCTTCCCGGGCTCGATTCCATCTACTTATGGATGACTCCACACACAGACATTCACCCTCCTAACCTGAATTGAACAAATATGGCCTCACAGAAGTGAACTTTAGATTCTACATTGGCTATGGCATGCTCAATGGTGTCGAACAACTAGGCATTCGTCTAGCCCCAGCCACCAGACCTCAAATCTTAAACCTATACAGACTCTCACGTGAAGCCTACGCCAATTTCCGGATCCCGTGGCAGGATTACACCTGCCCAGAGTTGGGTGAGATTGGCCAGCTTGGCCTCAAAAAGAAGGTGGGGCGGATCATGAAGTTAGGCTACATGATGCAAGGTTGAGGTTTGAGGGGGGGCTTGGGGCTGAGAGCTTAGGGTTCAGGGGCAAGAGTCCGGAAGTGTTGGATTTGAAGCCAAGGTAGTAGGCCACAAGCGATTTTTGTGTCAAGTTCGTGAAGAATAAGAGATTCATCAGGCGACAGCATGTATGGGTCTCTATGCACAAAGTGTTTCCTACTCTCCGACCATGCTCCCACCATAGAGGCTCCCATCCCAAAGTCGCAGGGGTATTTGGACAACCCACGGTAATCGGAAGGCTTCCATGCTGAACGAGGTCAGGGCCAGTGATAGAGATAGAGGGCTTTGAACGATAAAGCTGTTCGGGAGTCCAAATTTGTGACCATTAAACTCCGTAAATTCATCTTCAAAAAGGAGTCTCTGAAGAGGTGTCTGAAAGCCGGACTATTATCCCAGATTACAGATGCCACAGACCCATTGCAATGGTTCATTCAGCACTGCTGAAGTACCTAAGAAATTAAGAAGGTTTTGTTCTCTTAAGAATTGTAAAGCAGAGCCAGGTTCCAACTGTTCAGGCTTTCATATCAAAACACACAGTGAGGAGACAGAAGTCATGAAGTACGACCTACGTTTGTCTCATACTTGGCGTGGCTCTCACTCAAGGACCGAGTTGTCTCGTGTGGTACCCCGAAGCTCGAAGGTTCCAGACACCCAGTAACTACATGCAAAAAAAAAAACAGATTTGTTCTTGCAAAGTTGCCGGGCATCAAGTGGCGTAGTAGCATGGAAACTGAAGACAATCTCCGCAGAAAGTCAGGTGCGTTTCAGGCACAATAGTAAACCCTAAATTACTAAACCCTAAACCCTATAAGCCCATATAACCCTTTATAGTCGTTTCCATGTTCTTGTCCATTTCCCCTATATTACCCTTATACTGAATTATTGAAGCCCATGTCTTGGGCTCAAATGCCTCACAGAGTCACCCTGTCAGGAGCTCAGGCTGCCAGAGAACAAAGACGAGTTTGACGAAGCGATCTTCTTTGCCACGGGATGCACGGCGCTGAGGACTTGTGCTTCTGTGCTTTGAGGCTCTAGAGTCCTGGAGATTTTGGAGTCTAGCTTCTGTAGTGCGCAGAAGCTGTACATGCGGAGTTTCGGGGGTTGCATAAATAGGCTGTCTCTCAGTAGTATTTTTGGATGACATTCGAATGGGGTGTTGCGCGAGCAGTTTTTGACCCTATGGGTATGTAGGAGGGTTTGAACTTAATACACGAATAAGCGTCATGCGATATGACGAGTCCACAACTTTGCCACAGGCCCTGGGGTCACGGCTTGAAATTGTTAAGCCCTTGCATCATCATGTCAATGTGAAGTCAAGGTCAATGTCGAACGGTCAACGAGAAGTTTGCTTCATTCCTCCATGAGACGGTTCCTTCTATCGACTCTAAACCTTACATCCTCATGATTGAACCTACGGGGAACTGCCCTTCAGCAAACCTCAAATGGGATTATTCAAAGGCTCAGTCCAAAGCCTGTGAGTCTTCCTGCTGGAGGTATCCTGCAGCTTAAGTCACAAGCCCACTACTATTCGCCTTCGACCCAAAAGTCGAAGCTTCAAGAAGGTCTGTTCCCAAAGCTCCGCTCCTTAAAGCCTGCAATCCCTTACTGAACCTCAAATTTGAGTTCCTAAGCTTCACACCAAATGATTAACTTTCGGAATTATTGAAGAGCCCTTATAGATCGAGGTTGCGAGTCGCTGGACGGGTGCCCGTCCAGCCAGGACAAGGGCAACGGCCGAGCAGTTCGGAACGTCCTGGAGGACCCATTCTCCATGCTTAAAGGTTCAGGGTGTAGGAGGTTTGGAGCAAAGCGTAATGTTCATGGTGGGCCCGAAGCATTTTGAAGTTTGGGGCCTCAAGTTCTAATTCTGCACTCAGGGAAGACGATCTCGAGGAGTTGGGTTCTGGAGTTTAAGGTTTGGGATTGAAGTGGAGAGCGCTTAAGATCTTATCCCAAGCCTCAGACCAAACGCACACCTGGAGTCCTCCGAGGGGTGAAGAAGAACCCGCATGAAGAGGAATTGCTTTTCAACAACAAAAATGTTTAGAATGTTTGCCAGGCATATCTGCCATAAGAACGAAGCCTCCGTCCATAAGGTGCGCAGGCCAACAGAAGGTCCATGCTTGCTTTGTTTTCAGTGCAATGGCAAACCACAAGCTCCGAGACTTAGATCCTTTGCACCAACGGTTTTGGGAGCAGAAATTTGAAGCTGACCCACATGTCAACCTCAAAACCTAGACCCCAAAGCCCAAGCCTGCAACCCTAATAACGCCCTGTAAGGTAACCCTCATTCCCCAGTTTTGAGGCAGCAACGAGGGCCATGGCTACGAGGTTGCAGGGCGTTCCTCCATCACGGGACCGCTGCAAGGGGTGTAAGGAGAACAGGTGCAGGGATACAGGCTTGGAGAGGTGGACAAGAAGTTGTACGTTTGTTGATTTTAAGTGCTTGTGGTTTTGGGGAGTTTAGGAGCATTTCCGTGTTGTAGTTTAGGGTGCGCATGCAGGTCGAGGTTTTGGTTGTGCACCATGACAAGGGGTGCGATATGCGCAGCAATTCTTTGCCACCCCTAAGTGAGTTGACTGCTGGAAGTATCCGTACCGTCCCGCAGATGTCAGCATAATCGGAGCATCATCATGAGTGGAGAGAGGGTTTTCAGTTCTGGGCCGATACCAATATGTTGTAATAACCAGGCATCTCTTGGATTCAAGACCCACTGTCGGTTCTTCTGTTCGCTATCACACAATGCAGAAAAAGGCCACAACGTGTGGATGGTGCATAATTCCTTCTTCAATCGCCTTACACGCTGATTGTACTGCCCTGCAAATGAAGCACTGGGCTACTGATGGCAGGAGCTTTTCTCACAGTTGGCAGCCGAAGACTTTTTGGTTGCTAGCCCATTCCAAGATGGGCTGAAGGGTTTAGGAGTTCCGGCGTAGTATCTTTAGGAGGTATTTGGAGGGTTTACAGCTTCCGTCACGGGATGTGGTTGGGCCGTGGTCGTGCGCGTTTGGATTACAATCCCATTCATAGTTTTGAATCGACTTTGGAAAGGTTGTACCTACCAGGGTCCTCATATTCGATTATATTCCTACTATATTCTTGGGGTTCCCTGTTTGTGGCTGAGCCACACCTTGACTCAGAGGTGCAGAGCACAGCACGTTCTTCTTTGAGAATCGGTTACGGAATCCTGCTTCTACTGCAAGTCTAGCAGGCCGTTTTAATTGTGAGTGTTTAGATCACACATACGGTGTCTGTGCTGACTGGGTCACTTCTCCAAATTAGGAAGTTAGTTTGGCCCCTGGATGTATTGCCATCAATCGAAGCAAACCCTGCAAAGCAGCTCAGTTCAGGGAATTCCCAGGTGCCACGCTGTAACAAATTTCTCTTCCAGTTGTTCATATCTTCTCAGTCAGAACCTGGGAATCTGCCTCTGACATAAAGTGCGAAATCTTATTATTACTAGTAGAAGCCAAGATCCGAGCAGGCCCTGCCAATCCGATGTCTTGAGGGGGGCTACAACGGCATTAGTCCATGTTCTGTAGGTTTTTGTGCGTAGGAATGCGATGCAATTGGGCAGCAGACAAAGCCGTTTTGCTGACTACCACTGTTAGGGAGAGCTCGCCTTCGATGTTTATAAGGAAATCGTTTCTTTGAGTGCTCTCTGGATCCCCAAGCAGGCTGTGACTGCAGACGCTATCGAAACGAGGCTCCTTCCTCCCTGCAGTCCCGCAGGACCTCCTCTGCAGCTTTTTGGTTTTGCATGTTCGGTGCTAGTCTTGAAAGGCATGTGTGGTTGCCATTGTGGTTATTCTATGCGGTGCTGTGAGCGGCGGGCATGGCTTCGGATTGGGGAGTTCCTCAGCGCAGGCTCCTCTTCATACTTGGACTTAGGACGTAATCATCATCAACCTCGCAGCGGCCTCGCAGCCATTGTACCCCAAACTCTCTCTGTAAAAATACAGGTTCAAAATTTTGCCGGAAGAATCTGGAATTTGAGTACCCCAATTGGCCCAACATGCTAAGTAATTCGGCTGCACCTATGGAGTTTGAAGATTCCTGAGGTGGATTCTATGCCCCTAGCTGGCTGGTTTCAGCCCGCGGCATATTGTTGGCAAGTTATCTGTGGTTTCCTACAGATTTCACATTTTCCGCTGTTTCAGATGTCCACTCCATTTGTTTTCCAATATTCATGACAAAATAGGGTGGGAAAAATGTGTGCAAACGCCTCAGGCAATGAAACAAAAGCCCCCATGTTTTTGCAAATTTGTGGTTCCACATATATTGCATATTTTCAATATACGACAACCGAAAACCTAGGCTTCGTAGCCGGGATCCCTGTGGGTTGAAGCTAGACTTTCTACCATGCATTAATTCCATTCATGTGATGACAGCTTCATCTTCGCATTGATGTGTCGAGGCTTCATTTAATTTGTTCATGGGCGGGCACTCCTGGACAGTTCGAGAATTTTGCAAGGTGCTTGACAATGCTCAGGCCGGCAGGAGGTACTGGGCTTTCTTCAAATAATTGTGTAAGTGATGACGTTTCTGACCCTCCAGTTCGAACTAGAGAACCAGTATCCCGAAAGAGTGCGGAGCAGTGAGGCAGGGAGCACCGCGGCATCTGACATCATTTCATTTGTTCATTTCTCCCTGCACTCCATTCATCCCATTTATTAGCTGGCGAACATATTTCTCCAGGATAGAAACAACATATCATTTACTAAGAGCTAATCTCACGAAAACCGTACAAAGACCGCACATCATGCCACGAGCCGCACATCAAATCCGATACCTCACCAAAGCCGTACAACAACCTCATCACATCATCCAATTCACATCGTACCATCAATCAGAGATCAAGCCCTCCAATAGACAACCACCTCCATGGAGAAACCATTGGCAATGCTTCGGGAAAATGCGTTACTTGTAGAGATGTTTACTCAGCTAGGCGAGGCAAACATGCACAATACTCGTCTGCACTTTAGCCATAGCAGTACTCTCCCACAAATTCTCATCTGAACGTGTCATGTACTTCACACTTCGAACCTTTCCGAACCACATAATAATTGCAAGCGGGAGGTTCCTTTTGAGAGGGGTTAAGATTCAGATCTTAAAAGTCTCGTGCTTTAGGATTGCTGACAACTTGAGCTCTGGGCCTTGGGGATTGCTGTAGAAATTATGAGGGTGGTTGTCAACATGATGGTCCCTTTTTGGGTACCCTGAATATTAGGTGCCGTATTAGAATAGATACCCAAAAAGGGACCATAATTTTGACAACCACCCATAAGTTCGCTGGTAGGAGAGTTGGCGAAGCTGGCAAAGTGGATGGAGGAAGATCAGGCTGCCTGTTTGACATTCTGATTTTTGGGGCATCCCATGGTTCCTCAAGTCTGGGGCATGAAGCAGTGTTGCTTGATGTAGAGATATACATATCTATATATGTATATACATGTTTATCTATATTCATATGTACTTATTTCTTAGCAGGGTTTATTCAGGGTTCGGGGTTATCGTGGATCCGCAGGGTGTCGGGGCTCTTACTGGGAGCAGATGAGATGTCGGGGTGGCCGTAAGAGCTTGGCAAGTTGCTTGATTTAGCCTCTGAAACGAGCGCTGCTCTCGGAGGCTGCAGAAGTTTTAGACTGCAAGTACGTTTGAACCATGATTGCTGGAGAATGTAACCAGGTGACTAGTTGTTAAGTCCACTGACGCTTGGAGTGAAATTGTACCTCCCGAACTCTCTATTGGGAGCCATCATCATAAGCCTGCATATGCGAAGCGCTTCAAAGCGCCGTGGATCCAGCCTCATTCAACCCAAACCCCTACGGAAGAGCCCTGCCACGGGAACGCAGTATGGGTTCCTCAATATTTTAGATTCACTCACATGGCCCCAAAAAGTTTGACGTCATGGCAGCACCAGCTCAAGAAGTAACGTATATTTCAAGGCAACAGCAGCGCAGCAGGATTTGTAAGTGATCCTCGCCCATGCACCTGCAAGCAACAAGTATTGACCCAAGAAAAACAGTTGGGACATCTCGCCTGCATACACTTGGCAGACAGCAGACACAAAGACTTAAAATTTTCAGCACTGGGAGAGCAAAAAAGCTAAACTAATTAATCTCCTCGGATACTCAACAAGCCTGCTATTTCCGAAGTATGCAATGGACATGCCACGCAGGGCCGACCATGTGGAGACCTGCATAATGAGAACGGTGTCCTTAGGCAACTAGATGTAACATTGCCAACTAGCCAGTCTCAGTCTTCAAGCTCACAAGACTAAGGTCCTTTGTTTATCGCCCCAGGCCCTAAGATGATTGAAGCCCCGTAGTTTACCTACAGGTGAAGCCATACTTGAGTAGTGTTTTATTTGGGGATATTATGGTACCCATCGTAGAGAAAGATTATTTCCTCCTCTTGGGGTATAGTATCTTATATAAGGAATACAGTCTTACTGGGTTTAACCACCAAAAAAAAAGTTACTCACTTGGGTGCTAGTGAAGGCAGAGGCCCCCTGCAGACTTTTTGCCTTCAGGATTTATTGCTGCCTGGATCTCATGGGTATGTGGCTAGGTCTTTCAACATTCAGGGAAACAGAATGCACCCCAAGAAGGTCACCCGGGTTGGAATTCAACTGTCGCAGCCTGCACCGGGCTCTATTTGAATTTACGGAGCTTCCAATCTGGCCCAAATTCTTTAGACTTTGAATCGAGGGTCAAATGGGAATCTTCCATCCCCGCACTGGAAACTGAATACTTGCATGGCTCATCCCTCATATTGATGGTATGGGCATCAAGTTTTCATTGGGTGACCCAGAATGGTTGTGCATCTCTGGTTTAATTGGTCTTCGCCTTTGTTTTGAACCTATGGCTTTGTTCCTGTTCCCTCACATCATAGGCGGAAACCCAGCATTGGGTCGAGGCCCCTGAAGCACGCAACCTTTAAGCCTGAGACCCCAGCCGTACGCAGGCTAGACATTTACCTTTATGCATAAAACTCAGAATTGGACACTCCACCTTTTTGACGTCAGCCTTTTTGCCTTGCCTCCGCAAAGGTGGGTGTCAGGCAAAAGGTGCTTGGCGAGACGCAACTCTCCATTACGTGCGCGGCTCAGAGAGGTTGGGGTGCTGCCTCAATTACATGCGCAAGCCAGTCTTTGTATGTTGCGGCCTCTGAGTGTTGCCGTGATAGTCAGCATCACGGTTCTCCCAAAGTATCATTATGGTGGCATTTATGGTGAGCGCCAGGATTTCTGTTACACGAGAGATGTGGTAGAGGTTTCAAAATTTGGATACTTGAGTTAAGTTTCAGGCAAGGTATCGCTTTATACTTCTCGTCAAGCGTTGATAGCTAAAGAC